GGCATATAAGTATCGGTAGTGCCTATGTGCGTCATGGATAGTATATATGTGTCTTGTACATGTAAGATTAAGAGCGACAAGCGTAGGAACTTTCATCACGTGAAAAAGGAGTATTAAGACCACATTTGGGAATTTAAGGCAACAAGAAATTATATAATGCACTACCAAATTATTAGTCAAGACACATTATGAGCTAGAGAGATGGGAGACGCCTGACGAGTTCCTTCACAAACTTACAGGTACGATCTCTAGCTTCCTCAGCTGTTTGAAGGACTTCGGCATGCGTTACGTCTACAGAGGTATCAGCATCGGTGTTACATCTGCAAAAAAAGATTGTACATTTAGCTACGGTCTCTTAAGGGCTGTTTACTCACATGTTCGTGATCAGAGAGAACGCGATCACTTTGATACCGCATTGGCGAGCGACCGCCACCTCATGACAGGTAGACATGCCGAAAGCGGCTCCGCCAGCACTTTTGAACATGCACACCTTAAGATGGAATATAGAAATTCAAGACTTATCTCATATATAGAGCACAAATTTTGTATATTTGCTTCTTGCACGTTCGTATGCTTAAAAAATTCTAGACCAATCAGATGTACGTATACTTCCAAGTGGGGCGGTGTCGTAAGCTACTATCTGTCAATAATCGATATAGATTGTTTTTGCAGTTTGGGAGGTGAGACATGGTAAAAGGTAAGGGGCCCTATTTGATGTTTCTGCTGATGCGCATTTTTCAGGGCTTAGTGCATGAATTCAGGTGGGGTTTGGGCTATGGTGTACTAGGGGGTTTACTATGTCCCTAACTCCATGCTTCATCTGATGGTTCATCAAAACACTCATTACAATGCACTTCACCCGTACTTATTAACATGCTCAGCTTCGTTGGGTTAGATAATTTGCAGGACTATGGTATGTTTTCACTATCTTCAAAGAAGAAGAAATTACATTGAGAAGTACGGTTGGTCGCTGGGAATAACAAACGGATCATACAAAAAACTTGGAAGAGCAGCATATCCAACGATACTTTTTGACGCGTTTATAGCAGGGTTCCGCAGAGATGGCTCACAGGGCAATCTGGTTATCGTTTTGGAGTTGAAAAGCAAAGGAGATATCGTTTTTGCTAGGTTGGCGGAGCCCGAAAATATGCATGTATTAGCTTATCACGGTGTATATGAAATAATCGCCACATGGAGAATTTCTCAAGAACTTTCTCATCACTCAAAGCAACCTGAAACTGGATTTTCATATATAAGTAAAGAGTGAAAAAACTTCGACGGGTTGGC